CCCCACACATATAGCAATGTACAGCAGTGAAGCACTTGAGTCCGTAAACGAATTGGTAAATTACTTGACACATGTTGAAATTCCTAGAAAAAAATCGTTGATATTTCCTTTCAACATCATTACTCCCATACGGTCCCCCTTTCCGAAATACGATTTCAACGACGCATTTCTCTCTGTAAGGGTCATAAAGTCAAAGAAAAAGACTGCTGGAGTTTCCGCCAAGTTATTCAAAGGAACAGGCACAGTAGGAGCGGGAAAACGTAGTGAGCGATGGGCTGCTTACAGCCAGCTAATTTCCCGTATCGCGAACCGGTTCTGCTTCTCTCACCCTTTCTTCTCTTTCCATTAAAAGTCACGGTGATGACGGTCTCGCTTGCGCAGCACGCAAGGCAGTTAGGTGGACTTGGCTGCCGTGGTTTTTAAAGATTACAAAAAGAAAGCCAATTGGTCGAAATTTTCAAGAAAATTTGTTTACAATAAATATTTCAAGTTTAGTGAATGCGCAGGGCACCTGCTTGACCTGTTCTTCTCTGACAAAGTTCGTGGAGCAAAAGAGCTTGCGCTATGCTTTGTGAAGGATCTACGGATATGAGGGACAGGTGAGGGCAAATTGATGCGACAAGCAGTGCAGTTGTAATGAATGTAGAGGTTATATTTAGAATGGGCGACGCGCTTGCCATTCAAAGGGTTGTTGAATCAGCTGATGACAGTGCCATGAACTGCAAGCTGCTGGCTACATTCGCTCAGGTACGCCCTTGGACGACAATTGTACGCTAATGTAATCTAATCTACCTTCAGTATATCTAAGCATTTAGCTAGACTCGGGGACCAATTACTAGTTAGGAAAACGGTTATGGTGTGGCAGACCGGAAGCCGAAGCACATACCTTCTGTCCCCCCCCCAAATCTTTTGGTCCCTTTCTTTGGGAAGGGCCTCAGTCCTAGTGATGTGCGGCCAGTTTGTGGGGTGCTATCAAAATTCTCATGCTCACTGCGAAAGGTACCTTTCGTTTTGGCTCGTCCTTATGTTAGCGCCGCAAAGCGCAATGAAGTCTATACCTCCCCATTTTGCACTCCTCGACCGGATACTTTACTTTCAGCACATTTTTCCTCGTACGTGCACACACACACCCTTTGGTAGAGCACATCCTTTGTTGGAGCAGTCCTCATTTGGAAGAAAATGAATTTTAGAAGCGATCCTCATCCCAATCCCGGCCACGGAGTGGTGCATGCAGTCCCTGAGCAGGTTCCTTAGAACATGGAATAGTGCAAATATTCTGTCCTTTTTCAGGAAGCTTGGGGTCGTGCTGCTCTTCGTGAATCAGGAGCTCTTGACTTTCTCATTTCGCGGTTGTCTTCAACTCCATTCACTTCTGACGATAGGCTTGCTATTGTGCAACAGCTTCGTCATTTTGTGCATGATACAAACGGTACTGCTTTGCTGATTGATTTTAATTTTTTCTCTCCGCCTTACATTAATTAAGAAAGGTTTTCAATTCCCATGGAGCTCTGAATTGAAACCGATAGGTAGGTCGATAGAGCCTGAAAGATTGGTTACAAATCTGGAGATCTAAACCGCTACGTGAACCTGCCAAGGAAGTTCTGGATGGTCAAAGTTGAAAGTTTCCTTTTAGGGGATACAGGTTGCCGCTACCACGAATATGACATTGATTGTTGGCACTAACGCCATCTTGGTACCAATTTGGAGGTGTCCACCTTTG